ACCAAGGCGCAGAACAAGGAGCACGTGGTGGAGGCGCTGCGCCGCGCCAAGTTCAAGTTCCCGGGACGCCAGAAGGTACCGGGCACCCCAAAATCTGCGGGAGACACCCCAAAATCCCCGGGGGACACCCCAAAATCCTCTGGGGGGGCGCCCCAAAAATTTCGGGGGGGTGGGAGGTTTTGGGGTGCCCCAAAATTTATCAGGATGTCAAGAGGAGGATGAGACATGGGGGAGATGTGAAGTTTTGGAGTGCTAGAAGGTACCAAGCTCCCCGAAATCCTCTGGGGGCACCCCAAAATCCCCTGGGGACACCCCAAAATCCTCTGGGGGGGCGCCCCAAAAATTTCGGGGGGGTGGAAGGTCGTGGGGTGCTCCAAAATTTATCAGGATGTCAAGGGGAGGATGAGAACGTGGGGGAGACTGGGACATGGTGTGAGGTTTTGGGGTGCTAGAAGGTACCAGGTGCCCCAAAATCCTCTGGGGGCACCCCAAAATCTTCTGGGGACACCCCAAAAATTTTAGGGGGGTGGGAGGTCATGGGGTGCCCCAAAATTTATCAGGATGTCAAGGGGAGGATGAGAACATGGGGGAGATGTGAAGTTTTGGGGTGCTAGAAGGTACCGGGTGCCCCAAAATCCTCTGGGGCGCACCCCAAAATCTTCTGGGGACACCCCGAAATCCTCTGGGGCGCACCCCAAAATCTTCTGGGGACACCCCGAAATCCTCTGGGGGGGCACTCCAAAAATTTTGGGGGTGGGAGGTTTTGGGGTGCCCCAAAATTTGTCGGAATAAGGAGAGGATGAGAACATGGGGGAGACTGGGAGATGTGAAGTTTTGGGGTGCTAGAAAGTTCCAGGGCACCCCAAAAGTGTTCTGGGGGCACCCCAAAATCCTCTGGGGGATGCCCCAAAAATTTGGGGGGGTGGCAGGTTTTGGGGTGCAACGAGGGGTTTCCCAAATTCCAGGATGGAGGGACATAGGGACCCAAAAATTCAAATTTCCAACAACGGTGTTCCCAAAACCCTTAAGATAAAAGGGATGGGGGAACCTGGACACCCCCAAATTTTGCCGTGGGGAATTTTGGGGTCCCCTGATGATTTTTTGGGGTCCCCCCAGATCCACATCTTCAAGAAGTTGGGCTTCACCAACGAGGGGGGGCCCCAAAAATCCAAACAAGGGAATTCCCAAAATCCAGGATGGAGGAATTTGGAGACCCAAAAATTCAAATTTCCAACAACGATGTTCCCAAAACCCTTAAGACAAAAGGGATGGGGGAACCTGGACACCCCCAAATTTTGCCTTGGGGAATTTTGGGGTCCCCCTGATGATTTTTTGGGGTCCCCCCAGATCCACATCTCCAAGAAGTGGGGCTTCACCAACGAGGGGGGGCCCCAAAAATCCAAATTTCCAACAGCGGTGTTCCCAAAACCCTTAAGACAAAAGGGATGGGGGAACCTGGACACCCCCAAATTTCACCTTGAGGAATTTTGGGGTCCCCCTGATGATTTTTTGGGGTCCCCCCAGATCCACATCTCCAAGAAGTGGGGCTTCACCAAGTTCAACGCCGACGCCTTCGAGGAGATGGTGGCGCAGAAGCGGCTGATCCCCGACGGCTGCGGGGTCAAGTACGTCCCTGCCCGGGGGCCCCTGGAGCGCTGGAGGGCCCTGCACGCCTGAACCCCAAAAAAAACCACCCCGGAGCCCCCCAAAATCCTCCCGGAACCCCCCAGAATCCACAGGGAACCCCAGAATCCAGGGGGAACCCCCCAAACCTGTGGGAAACTCCCCAAAATCCGCGTGGAACACCAGAATCCACGGGGAACCCAAAAATCTTTGGGGAGTCCCCCAAAATCCACGGGGAGCCTTGAAATCTATGGGGGAACCTGCCAAAGTCCACAGGGAACCCCCCAAAATCTGAAGGGAACCCCAAAATCCACGGGGAACCCACCAAAGTCTGCGGGGAAACCCCAAAACTTGTGGAGAACCCCCTCAAAATCCATGGGGAACCCCAGAATTTGTGGGGAACCCCCCCAGAATCCACGGGGAACCCCAAAATCTGCGGGAAACCCCCCAGAATCCATAGGGAACCCCAAAATCTGCGGGGAACCCCCCAAAATCCATGGAGAACCCCCCCCCAAACCTGTGGGAAACTCCCCAAAATCTGCAGGGAACACCAAAATCCACGGGGAACCCAAAAATCTGTGGAGACCCCCCAAAAACCACGGGGAGCCCCAAAATTCCTGAGGCTGGGGAGGCCCGGCTGCGGTTTTGGGGCTCTGGGTGGAATAAAAAGGATTTTCTTTGTCCCTGCTGGCACCGTTTGGGTTTTTGGGGGATTTTGGGGGGATTTGGGGTCGCCGGATTTGGTCCTGGTTGGGTTTTGAGGGGGGGTCTCAGAAAGTTGGGGAGGGGTCGGTTGGGTCCTCTGGGTTTTTTTGGGGGGATCCCCAAAATTTATTTGTTTTTCCCCACCCAGTTCCCATTTTTTTACCCCCAAATTGCCAGTTTTTTTACCCACATCCTCATTTTTTTCCCTTTCCACACCCCCAATTCCAATTCCCAATTTTCCCCATTTTTTCCCCATTTCCTCCCATTATTTACCCCAATTCCCATTTTTTCCTCATTTTTTACCCCCCAAGTCCCATTTTTCCACAGTTTTTACCAAACCTCACTTTTAACCCAATTCCCATTATTTCCTCATTTGTTAGCCAATTCCCGGTTTTTTCTCATTTTTTACCCCCTAATTCCCTTTTTTTTCCTCATTTTTTACACCCAATTCCCAATTTTTCATATTTTACCCCCCAGTTCCCATTTTTACCTCATGTTTTCGTCCGCAATTCCCATTTTGCCCCATTTTTTACCTATATCCTCATTTTTCCCTTTTCCCCGTCTCCAGTTTCCATTTTTTCCTCATTTTTCCCCCAATTCCCATTTTCCCCCATTTTTTTACACACAGCCTCATTTTTTTCCCTTTCCCTGTCCCAAATTCCCATTTTCCCCTATTTTTTACCCCCATTTCCCATTTTTTCCTCATCCTTTACCCCCCCAAATCCCATTTTTCCCAATTTTTAACCTGCTCAGGTCCATAAAATCAGGGACAGATCAGGGATCCCCCAAATCCTGGTTATTTTTTGGGATCCCCAAATTTTGCCTCCGCCGGGTTTTGGGGAGTCCCAGGAAGGTGAGGTCAGCTCGGGGCTCCCCAAATTTCTTTTTTTTGGGGATTTTTTGGGGGAATTCCCAATCTTTGCCCCCCCTCCCCAGTTTTTTTGATTTTTTTGGGCGATCCCCCAGATTTTCCACCTCCCCCCCAAAAAAAGAGGCTGCACAAAAAGGGTGAAATGAGTAAAAACGAGGTTTTTGTGTTTTTCCTTCATTCCCAAACGCGGCCCCTCCCCCCCACAGACACGGACAGAGGTGGGGGAGGGGAGGGGAGCACCCCAGAATTTTTGGGGTTTGGTTTTTTTTTTGGGGAGGGGGTCCAGGGCTGGTTTGGCCTCCTGGGACCCTCCCAGCCCTGGGGAGGAGGTGACAAAAAGTGTAAAAAAACCCTGAAAAAATCCTAAATCAGCCCCAAAACTAAGCACGGCCACAGACACGACAATGGGGGAGGGGAAAAGGGGGGGCGAGGGGCGACCCCCACCCCTCATTTTGTGCTTGGGGGGGCGGGGGGCGAGGGGTTGGGGACAGGGGGGGACACAGAGACACCCCCGGAGGGGACAGAGACCCCCGAGAGGGGATGGAGACCCCCCCCAAAAGGGACAGAGACCCCCAAAAGGGACAGAGACCCTCGAGAGGGGATGGAGACCCCCCCCAAAAGGGACAGAGAGACCCCCGAGAGGGGATGGAGACCCCCCCCAAAAGGGACACAGAGA